TGTGTGTGTGTGTGTGTGTGTGTGTGTGTGTGTGTGTGTGTGTGTGTTAGGGGGGAGATAGAGGGGGCAATCAACTGTTCCCAGCCCTGGTGCAATGGCTAATAGTGTTGTTAGCTAGCTACTACAGACTTTACTGCTACAAATTTCTTCTACTTTTATCTATTTAAAATATCTGTGTTTTTTGACTCCAGGAGATATGCTGCACTGTTTACTCTTTTGTATTTAAAAAAAAAAATCACTTAAAATTTATTGCCATGATAAAAATCATAAAAAAAAGTGGCGTTTTAAAAAGATAAAAGTTTTTGATGGCCCACTGAACAATATGACCTTCTTAGACAAACATTGGCCTTTAGGGACAGGAGTGGACTGTGCAAGAATCAGTTTTACTCTGTTTAATGACTGGGGGGGTCAAAGCAAATCTAATCAGATCTATTCCTTCCTTAAAAGAGCAGATGACCTTTCTACCTACCCAGATCACGTGGCGTGTTGGGTTAAGTTTCTAGTAAGGTGTTTACTTTAGATGTGGGATTCTCTAGAGACCGTACCACAGTCTGGGGACAACCATGTCTTGGGGAATTCCAGGTGACAGACAAACCTTGTATCCTGGGGTTTTGCTTTTGCTCAGCAATGCATCTAATGAAGTTGGGGCACTGGGAACTATCGGGAGCTCCCTCTTACCCCAGAGCAAACCTGTCTGCAGAGCCCTCACCCTGCACCTCTAGATCTGAATAAAGTCACTCTTCACACAGTTCTACTGTGTCAGACATTCTTCTGCGCCCTTCTCACACATGAGCACATTCACTCAGTCCTCAGAACCAGCCTGTGAGGTAGACAGGCTTCCCACCTCCACTTTACAGGTGTGGAAGGTGCGAGGTTAAAAAACTGCTCAAAGCTACCCAAGTAATAATTAGGGGACCCAGAATTCAAACTCAGATATTTTTATTCTTTGGTGTTAGAAGTTATCCTTCTAAAACACACACACACACATACATACACACACACGCACACATACACACACACACCTACAGAATAAGCATCTTCTGGGAGGAAATAACATTCTGTGTATTAAATGATGCATAGGTAATCTCAGATCTTTCTAAATCTCTGTACTACCACAGATGAGGCTGTCCGAGTCTATCAAAAACCATCTGTTTTATCTCAGTATGACGCCCCCACCCCCCAACCCACCCCCCAGTGCCTCTGGGTATAGTCCCTTGAGTACAGGCTCCTGCGCGGAAGAAGTTCGGTTCTCACCTTTCCAGGCAGGAGTGTGGCAGAGCTGCCAGTCCCTTACACATCTTGGCAAGCGGCTTGGGTCCTCAGCCTTGAGCACGAACCTCTCAACAGCTGATCTGGTCTCTGAAAACTTCAACACTGTCTGGGGCAGCCTTTTCCTCTGAGGAATATATATACAGGCTCTCTCACAGCCCCTGTGGCTCCAAGGACCAATCCGGAGCTCCGGAGAAAATTGTGGGCTGGAGCACTGGAGCAATTTGCCTGAGGTGGGGGCTGGGAGCCTTTCCTGGCTGCAGGCGCTGCTGGGGCCAGGATTTCTGACTGCTTCTGTCACAACAGTCTGTAGCTTAGTCAGGGCTCGGTTGAACCCTAACATTGGGATAAGGCCATTAGTGCTTGAAGTCTGCAATCCCATATCAGCCAAAACAGGGATGTGGGGTTTCTTCGAAAGCAGAGTACCTTGAGCCACTTTAGAACCTCCAAGGGTACTGGGATATATCAGGGAAACCACCTCACAGTGGAGGAAAGTGAGCTTCTATGGTGAAGAGAATGTATACCCGTGGATCTCCTGTGTGTTGGGTACTCAGATGGATGCTAGGAATTCAGAGCTAAAAGGAGCAGCCAATGCTCTTATGGTATTATTTTGGTGCAGCAGGTGTAAGCAACAGAGGCAGGCCTGCCCAGGCTGCTGTGAGCTGCCCGGGCATATCGTTACCAGACTTAGAGGTCACTCGCTGAGACCCCAACAAATCCTACTCAGACCTCTACTCTTCAGTGAGTCAATGAAGGGAGCCAAGTTAGGAGTGAAAAGCAGAAAAAGGCGATTTGTGCAGCGTGGCCCTGGGAAGAGGGACAAAGAGACCCAACAATTCCCCCAGTCCCTGTACCAAGGTCCTGACTCGAGGTAGGGTGTGAAAAGAGAGCAAGGGACACACCTAACTAAACAGTCAAGCAAAGAGTGTCCCAACTCCAAGTGTCTCCAGCTAGTCAGTCTGATGGAATGTCAAGGTCATTGCCCAGGCTGTAAATCTTTCTCCAGTAGACAAATTTCTGTTCTGAATGCCCCCAGGCTCAGCCATTTCCTCTCCCTAAAGGAGACGAGGGGCAGGAGACAGGAAGGGAGCAATTGCTTGGAATCCTTTCTTTCAACAGCTGATAGCCAAAGAAGGGAACACAAGTGTCTCCTTCGAATGTTTGTTCCAGGCTGATAGGTCCGTTACCTACCTCTCCGCTCTTTTAAAAAACACCCCAGTGTTGAGGTGAAATACACCTGTGACTGAGAACAAAATCACAAAGGGAATACAAGTAGGACCCAAGGTTAGAATATACTCAGGCTGTGTCAGGTTCTCACACTGAGAACCATTTCTGCATAACTCTTGGTTTTAGTTTATTTTAGAAGGCTGAAATAAATGACTCCATTCTGCTGTTTGAATAAGGGTCTTTCGACTGGGAAACATAGGATGGCCTCAGGCTTCTGTTCCTCCTGCTTCAGCCCTCTGAAATTGTGGGATTACAAGCAGCCACTCCTCTACCCAGTGTGACTCCATTTCAATCCTGACAACTTTCCCCCATTGTCTCTGCACAATGTTCTCTGAAGACACAATTAAGCTTCTGATAGTTTGTTTTCCACTGTCCCTGGTAACCGTATAAACTGACAACATGACCGCTCTATGGTATGGGTAAGTAGGAGGGTTTTATTGTAGATACTCCAGAGAGATCAGCCAGGGATGGCTAGAAGAGTCCAGAGAGGGTAAAGAAAAAAGTAGGCTGAATATGGCCAACAACAGGAACAGAGCAGAGCAGACAGGCAGAGAGGAACAGAGAGAGAAGGAGAGGATAGGAGAGCAGAGAGGTGTAGAGGAGGAAAACTGAGAGGGAGAGAAAAGGAGAGACTGAGAAAGGAAGACAAAGAGAGTGAGCATATTGAAAATAGGGTTAGAAGGAGAATGAGTAGCTGTAGGGAGGGAAGCCTGTGAACCACAGAAGATTAGGGGAGGGGAAAAGTGAGAAGGGCTAGGATGTTAGTATCAAAATGTGTAATAGGTACTTGTGATAGCAAGTGGTCCTGGAGGCCAGCATGTGCTAATAGGCACCACAGATAGACATTTATCCCCTCTGCTTTTTAGAATTTGGGAAAGCTGAGTTTCCTTTGGACTGACAGTAACCAGGGTTAGATTTGTTCTGGTTGGTCTGACTTGATCGTCTTTTCAGAGATTTTCTATAAAATACTAACAGCTATAAGGCTTTATAAAAACATAGCCAACAAGAGCAAGACTAATTAATTCAAACACGAAGAGCAGAGAGCACAGCCTGTGGGCTAGGAGGCAATTAAGATGTCCACACAAGACTTGACTTTCAGTCATGCTCAGTTTATTCCCACAAACATTCCTTATGATATAGTGATGTAAAAGTTAAGCAAACATCTCACCAAGCAGGAAACTGTTGGTTGGGCAGAAAATGCTCCTACAGGTTCCACTGAAGAATGTTTTAGAAGCTTGCAAGCTCAAGCCATGTCTGCCACGAAGTCCTTCAGCTATGATAGGCCAGAAGGACAGCATTGGTGGAATGGTCCAGTAGCTTTGTACTATCAGGGCTCACAGCTTGGAGCTAGTTCACTAACCTATCAATGTCCCCTAGGGTTAGTTACTTAACATATCAAAGCCTATTTTGGTCTTGGCTCACATCTGAGCTGTCCTATGGCCATCCATGAACACATCGGATCCTGCCTGGGAGCTCTATGTCTTATTAGAGGTGCCGCCTGGTGGCGGGCTCCTATCTTACAGGCATTCCATTAGTCCAAGTCACACAATATGGCTTTTATGTTACACAAAACGTTTTCACGTATGTTTCTAACATGGCCTGGGTACAGTCTTACAAAGATCTAATGCCTACCAATCTTTACAAGGCTTGTGCAGTAAAGAGGCATATATACACAGAAAAGAGCCAGTAACAAGTAGCCTCATTTACCCAAAAGAACTAGACGGAAGCCTCTTATGTATTAATTTAACTTTTACTTCTAAAAGGAAATCTAGAGTCTTTGGTTTGGTAGAAGAAGTCTATAGCATTGACGATCAACCTGTTGAATCTCTTACCTATTCGGGACCTATGCTAGTTATAAAACAAAACAAAACAAAACAAAACAAAAAAACCATTATGTACAAGTGAAACTCATACAATGACAAAATGCCTATTTAGCCAAACAGGATTAGATGGCAGTTTTCGCAGATGTGTTTTTGAGTGTAAAAGTCTTGAAGACACTAGGAAGTCAACATAACACCACCCCTCCGGAGGCCCAGCAGTACCCATTTTAAACAGGTTCCAGTTGGTTTCTGGAGTCAGTTGCTAAGAAAACTGAAGAAAAATGTTAACAAGTCCCAGTACAGCACGAGAAGATCCCTTCATTTGTAGCAGTTGTTCTTTGAAAAGGTCAGCATTAAGTGTGGCTTTGTAGACGGGAGGAGTTTCCTAACTAGCTCCCCAGAAGCCACAAACTCCATGAGTTGTGCCTCTTTCTCATCCAGGGTATTGCCCTGTGTTTGGGTGTTGCCTTGTATCTATCCAGGGTAGATACCAGGGTTAACTCAAGCTATGCAGCCCAACCCAGGGCAATGTAGAAGCTAGGCCACTGTGCTCCGGCCTTCTGGGACCATTGTTCAGGCTGCCTCTGGCTGCAGCTGTAGTCATTGTCCTTCCTTCAGGCATATACAGTTGCTGAGGAAGCCTGATGTTAATGACCAGAGCATTTTGTCGTCATTTTCCCTGTAGGAGACTTACATGCCTTTTCCATGATAAGCTTTCGCACATGTTAAGTTCAAGTTCACAGCTGTGCATACTTCCAGTCACAGATGCATATAGAGCATTAAATGTTGTGAAATAGTTGCTTACAAAGTGGTCATTTAAAAGACTTCAACATGAATACTTAAAAGATTCTTGACTTTTCTTTTTCTTTCTTTCTTTTATTTTTTTTTTGAGATAGGATTTCTCTGTGTATCCTGGCTGTCCTGGAACTCGCTCCAATAGACCACGGTTGCCTTGAACTCAGATATCTGCCTGTCTCTGCCTCTAGAGTGCTCAGATTAAAGGTGTGAGCCACCTCCACCTGGCTTAAGTCTTGACTTTCTGAAATCTCTAAGAAGATAAAGGTCTGAAATATAAACATGAAAAATATTTTAACAAAACATAAAAATCTTGCCTTTCAAATGAATTACAGAATGTTACTATTAGAAACCCAAAGAATAATGTTAGTATCATGCACAGGAACATACAAGCAAAGAGAAAGCAGTTTAGCAGGGAAATTATTTTTGGTCAGACCCAAACTAGGCTAACAAGCACACTTGCCCAAGATGGGTTTTTACTCTTATCCCTGACACAGGTGGCGACTGTGTCTTGTCTCACTAACTGGAGTCCGGGTTTATAATCTGACATAACTGGATGACGTGTACAAGGGAAAGGAGACAGCTCAGTAAATATGAATCCTTGCTGACCTAAATGCCTTTGATAGAAACAATTTTTTTCTCACAAAAACAGAGAGCATTAACATTTTTAACAAGATAGATGAAGCTTAGATATTTTAGTAATTGGGGGGGTACACTCGTTTTGTATTCTTCTTAGCCTTGTTTTAAAGGCAGACCAAATTCCCCAAATGTCCTAGTTAGGGTTAATATTGCTGTGATAAAATACCATTAACAAAAAGCAACTTGGGGAGGAAAGTGTTTATTTGGCTTACTCATCCACATCACTGTTCACCATCGAAGGAAGTTAGTGCAGGTGCTCAAACAGGACAGGAAGCTGGATCTTGCTCCTCAGAGCTTTCTAAGCATGCTTCTTACAGAACCCAGGACCACCAGCTCCAGGGTGGCGCCACCCACAGTAGGCTGGGCCCTCCCCCACCAATCACTAATTAAAATGAATGCCCTACAGGTTTGCATATGGCCCCAGCCCAATCTTATGGAAGCATCTTCTCAACAGAGGCTTCCTCTTCTCTGCTGACTCTAGCTTGCGTCAGGTGGACATAAAACTAGCCAGCACACCAAATAAATACAGAAGGATTCACCACCCTTATGTAGTAACACTTACGTTCTAAAACGTTAGGTGACAATCATTTACAAAAGCAGATTGTCTTGCATTT